AAAACACAAACGAGTTTCAGTAAAGAAGATGCAAAAAAAAAGAGTATGAAGACGCTGAAAATGAACGACGCGACGCAGAAAAAGATCTTGCTCTTGCTCGGAAAGAAGAAAATAATCAAAGTATTGCAGATTATACTGCTCGCCAGGAAGAAAATCGTGCTCAACAGGCTTTTAATCGAGCTGAACATGAATACAATACAGCCAAGACTCATCTTCAACATAGTGAAGAAGAAGAAGATTTTGCTCAACGTCGATCGAATCAACACTATAACCAACATGGCCTCACTCGATGTGTCAAAAATATGTTTTCAGGATTCACGGGTAGTGATAGTGGTTGGGATGTAGACAATAAACTCCCACAAGCTCGATCAAAAACCCAACAAGCACGAACTGCCTTTAATCAAAAATTAACTACATATAATAATTTGAAAACAGCATTGAATACTGCAAACGAGAAAGCGAAACTCACAGCAAAAACTCTATCTGTACGTACCAACGAACGAATTCAAGCAGGAGAACGAGTAAATACCTGTGTTACAAATCGAGATACGAAACGAAAAAATCTTGATAAATTAATTAACGATGTACGTTTATCTAAAGAAAAGAAAACAGATCTCGAAAGTAATCTTAATATTATTGGAAGAAAAATCGAACGAAAAAAAGATGAAATAAATACACATGAACGTGATTTAGATCGTCAACAACAAATATATCAATCTTATGATAATCGACGTATAGAATTCGAAAATAATATTCTAACAACCAATGGAAATCTTCAACAACAAGATCTTTTAATTGAACATAATAAAATGAATTTTAATGAAAATGAACAATCATTAAAGAAAAATCAAGAAGATTTAATTCAACAAAAAAAACTTATTGTTCAAACAAAAAATGATATTAAAAATATAAAAACAAATTTAAATGAACAAGAAATTGAAAAAACAAAGAATAAAACAGAAATGGAATTAACTAAAAATAAAATTGAAAATGAAAGAAAAAATATTGAACAAATTCGAGATGAAATTTTCAAATATAAAGAAACTTTATCACAAACTTCACTTGCACTTGAAAGAAATTTAGATGAATTAAAAAACATTTCTATTCAACTTAACGAAAATCAAACTAAAAGAAATCAAATACAAAAAGATATTCAAACTAAACAAGATCAATTGAAAGAATGCGAAAAAAAACGAGATGATATTCAACAAACTCTACTAGATCAAAAAGCAGAGTTGAATAAATTAAATTTAAAATTACAATTATATAATGATCAAAAAAACAAAATTACGAAGGATATTCAAGATGTAGAATTTAAAATCAAACAAAAACACGATGAATATATAAAAATTCAAACTGAACGTGATAGATTATTAAAACAATCCAACGATATAAAAAAGAAAATTGACGAAATGACACAAACACTAAAAGATATTGAAAAAAAATCTAATGAAACAAGAGAAGAACTTGATAATAGTACTCGATTAGTTATTAAAAATCAAACTGATTTTGATCAAATGAAAGAAAAAATCAAAGATTTACATCGAACATTTCAAGTAAAGGAAAATACTAAAACACACACATATAAACAAATTGAAGAACTTGAACAAAAAATTAAGGATCTTCAACATTATTATTCAAAAGAAGAAGCGAATTTACAAGATGAAATGTTCAAAGAATTTGAAGAGAGTCAAAAGAATCACGAAAGGGGAAAAGATAAAAATTATCAAAATCTATTTACAAAACCTCAAGTAAATCCGAATGAAGAAACAGATGAAAAACTGAATGAAGTTTATCGTCACTAAATCATCATTATATAATACAATTAACATTCTCGAAATTTATCGATTATTTTTAATATTTTTCTCTTTTTTTTCTAACTATAATACGAATAACGAACATTTTCTTTTCATTTTATCAAAATACTTTTAGATGTCTGAAATACCTGCATTTGTTCCATGGACGAGACCTTCTAATATTCAACCTTCAGAAGATCAAGCAAAAACATCCAATCAACCGGTTAATTTAGTACCAATTAGTAAACTTATTATGAATGTACGAAAGCATTTTTCATATAATGAATTAAATGATTTTATTGAAAGTCTCAATCGTATCGACACAAATATGAAAAAATGTGAATTTACTCCATTACAATTGTATGCATTGCATATCAATAGTACGGGAATTGATATGAGTGGACAAAAAAACTCGTCAGTATATCGACCAAATACACATATACGTAAAAATGATTTTTTTGGTCCATGGAATTTTAATTATCTATTAAATTTAATTTCAATTGATTATGAAACAAATGATAATAATAAGATTTTTCCAGATCTATGGTGTACTGAAATTGGATTGACGAAAATTACTGTAATTATACATAATACGACTATTGATCGATCAGATGAAAATGAAAACAATACAACTACGACAGGATCACAAACGAAAAAAGAACAACGAACATTACTCGATTTTTTAATTGCCATTTGTCGACAAAATCAATATGATGATAAAACAGCTTATGTTTGGAAGGATGCATTAAATAGTATGTATTCAAATTTCTTATGTTATGATAATTTGAATTCAAAAGATTTCAATCTAAATATAGATCTTATAGAATAGATCTTATTTCACTCATTGTTCTATTTAAATAAAATTGAAAAATTATCGAAAGTAAAAAGACCCAAAAAGAATTCTTATTTCTATATCTTTCATAGACAATATGAAGAAAAATAATTGAAGATTTTCTATGATCAATAGATCAATACCTAACTTAGATATTTATTTCAAACTTGAATTCTGAAAAAGAATATGTGTTTTTTTTTCGTATGAAAATACTATCGATAAGACAAAAATAATTTTGATTTAGATGAACATATTTTAACAATCGAACATTTGAATAATATTACTGATAAGAATTGGGATCGTTTAACTAGCATACCAAATTTCGTTCGACAAATGATCCAAGATTACAAACAACTCAATCAATTTAATGATTCTTCACAAAAGACTCTTGTCGATCCATATAAAACATCAAAAGCAAGATTACTTGCCGATATTCATTGTGTACGACGATATATTTATTCAACAATTGGTCAACTTGAACAATTATCTTATCTTGATCCGATCGCAGTTGATTTAGCTATTGATGAAGTTCGTCGTACTTATGATGATGATAGTGATGTTTTAATAAATATTCAGAATTATTTACATACATTTTGTTTAAAAAAGTTTAGTGAAGATCTAGCAACACAAGAACAAAAACGTATCGAATTACAAACTGAATTATCATTATTAAAACAGAATTATCAAAAGTTTAGTAACGATAGAGATCAAAATAAAAATGAGTTGAATCGTTTGGAGATTGAAGTAAGACATTTCGAAAATAAATATCAAGAGATTTTGAAAAATGAAAAGCAAGTTCTTCAAGAAATTGAAAAAAGAAAAATGTGTGGACAAAAAGAACTTAATACTAATCCAGGTGGAAACTGGAAAAAATATCTAGATGAAGCAGAACAAATTCAAACAAGTTACAATAAGGATAAAAAAACGATCGGAGACGAATTAGCTAAAAAACGTACAATGTCTCTTGTAGCACGAGAAAAATATTGTATTATTAATAGTCTATGTAGTAATGCAGAAGAAAAAATCAATGATCTTATTCAATATACAAAATTAAATTTCGATGATGTACGTGGAAAACTTTTGGTGAAATTCGGACGTGGATTACTCTTATTTGGACCACCTGGTACAGGTAAGTATCAGAAAAGTTCAATATAATTTCAATATAAAGAGAAAAAAGAAACACTTTGAATCCTCGCAAACGTAACAGACAGACTGAATATCGTGTTACAACCTCAACATAAACCTAATCACAACCATCTTTAATTCTGTATGAGATTGCACTGAAAACTTTTCTTATTATCAATCACAAAATTCTTATAATAAATGTATCATTTGTTTTTTGTTTTGTAGGTAAATCTGAAATTTTAAAATTAGCATCGGTACTTGCCGGATTTACTATTATTACTCCACCACTATCTGCTGGAGAACTTAATCGACCATTAGTAGGAGAAACTGAACGTCTTTTGGTAGATATTATGAGTCGAGCTAATACTATTCCTTATCTTATATGTGCACTTATCATTGATGAAATTGATGGTCTTGTACCAAAACGTGACAATAATGCACATCAAGGTAAAGTTGATGGTATTAGTGTACTTTTATCTCACATTGAAGGTGTCAAAAATATTCCAAATCTGATTTTACTCGGTGCCACCAATCGAAAAACAATGATGGATGAAGCTTTTCTTCGACGAATGCAAACAAAAGTATTTGTTGGACGTCCATCACCACGTATTCGAGAGAAAATGTTTGAACCTTTGGTGTACAAAGATCCGAAAATATTCAATAAGAAATGTATGGAGTTTTTAGTTCGAATTTCAACGAATTTCAGTGGAGCAGCACTAGTTGCTCTTAAATCAGCTATACTTGTGTCAATCGATAGACGATTAACCATTGATGAAGATACGTTATCACATATTGCTGAACGAGTAGCACTTGAATACAATTTTTATTTTGGTTCAAATACATTACCAGAAATTTGGCGTAAAAATAAAGCATTTTTTGATGGAGCATTCCCTACGAAATATTCATTGGTTATACCTGATGACATGGGTTTACCATCAGGTCGTGTTCTTATTGATCTTCATGAACGAAAACGCTTTCTTGAACTTCAAAATCGTGAAAGTTTTACAATGGAACAAGATTTAAATGATAATGAAATTGATTTTGTTTCAATTATGCCTCGATTAGTACATGGCTGTAATAGTCGAAATATTGATACATTACAAATTATTGATCATAGTTTTTTATCAAAACAGAATGCTTTCGATGAGAAAACAATTTTCGAACTGCTCAATGCGACATTCGATGGTGCATATAAAGATAATTTTCATTGATTCTTCTTTTGAATTAGTTTTTCTCTTTCTCTCTAGAATGCAAGCATTACAATCGTTGGATGATCATTTTCCATGTCGATTCTTTAATTATATTACAAAAGAATGAATCTCAATTTTCATCATCGACAACTATTCAAAATCTTCAAATGTATCAATTTATTAAAGAAAATAGTCTTATGACTTTGATTGAACCGAAAAAATCAGGAGACTTAGGTGGTCCTCGAGAACAATGGATTGTTCTTGTTGTTAAAAATCCTGAATTGAAATCTTTATTAATTGATGATATCGGTTTTAAACAAACAAAAGCACAACAAGTACAAGAAGAAACTGAAAAGATTAAACAAAAAGATGATGAGCAAGAAAGAAAGTGTCCAAAATGTTTGAAAAATTATATACCAGCTAAGGTCAATTATGGTTCATGTCATTATCATGATGGATTTGTTTGGGATAGTCAAAATAATGTGAGAATGACAGGAACGAAAGCACAAGAATTAACAATTCGAGCAGCACTTCGAAAGAAATCAAATCAGATCAATAATAATCAAGATGAACCAAAATTAATATGGGTTTGTTGTTTACGCATGTATGGTGATCGAGAATGTCAAACAGGTATTTGCGGAATTCCAGACGAACTCAAAGATATAGATTTCGGTAATAAAGATCCAGTAGAACTCGTACAGGAACATTTTCTACGAAATAAAGAAGCGTTGCAAACATTACAAAACTTCACGAAAAATATTGTATAATTTATCAAATCTGCTCTTTTCAAATGATCTTATTGCAGCAACAAGAGATTCTTTTCTATTTGAAAATAACTCCCTTTCATTTTATGTAATAACACTAATTTTACCTTTTTTTTCAAATCAATGATGATATATATATATATCCTATTTGCTTTGCTTGTCTTCGTATATAATTCCTTACATATGAAAATATAGATTATAATAGTACTGAGGGCATGGAAAATTCCGCTTTCCAGGAAAATTTGGCAAAATTCCGAAACTGTAAATTTCCTGAAAATTCGAATTTTCCGCATCACCCATGATATGATTATATATTTTCCTTCAAAAGCTCGAGTTACATGAGAGCGTATAGGAAAATCATTCAATTGCTGAGCTCATGTAATATCTATGCTGTACCCTAGTCGAACATCTTGTAAGCAAGATCTTGAACAAGATCTTGGGTACAGATAAGTGAACAGATCTTGCAAATTTAGGTACAGATATTTCAATTATCTTGTACATAAGATCTTTGATAAGATCTTTGGTACAGATTGTAAAGATCTTATATAGGATCTTGCATTATCTTACGTATACCTTTTCAAGATCTTAGCTGGCGATAATTAATTTCTTGACTGTAAGATTTTGTGTTCAGTACGATATTTATTTTATTTTCATCATGTAAAATTAAACTTTACAAAAAACTGATCATTATTTCAAAAACTTGCGCAAATACATTCACATCTGACAATTAAAACAAATCACACACAATAACACATACATAAAGAATCATATACAATAAATAAAATAAATAATCAGAAAAAAAACATTAAACAAAACATAAAAACGATGAATCTTTGCTAATTTTGTATTGAATTAACCTTCGCCATACAAATACATTTCAGGAGTCGATGAAAACACGATTATACAAATCGTTTGATCGAGTTAATTATATCTAGAATAAATGTTAGACAGTTGATGAATATCTGAAAAAAGACAATAAATCATCATTGATAAGCGTGTGTCGGATTATTTAACAAAGTTTTAAAACATTATCGATCGAATGAATATAAAGATTCGTTTGTAGAAGTCTTGTCTTTGTGTCCATAACCTCTATGTTATTATTGGTTGATACACGTGAGAACCGTAACAATATTTTTCAACATATTTTTATGATTTCTTATGGTTTATGTATGCTCTTAAGCAATTAATTCGATTGTTTTCATTATTTTCATACATTAATGGTGTCGCTTTAGTCTTTTCAAGATCTTGATACAAGATAATTCTAGTTTCATTTTTCTTGAATCTTATCAAGATCTTGAGATCTTAGAACAGATCTTTCCATGATCTATGGTACAGATATATAAGATAAATCCAAGATATACTTTTTCATAAAAAGCAATTTATCTGTTTCAAGATCTTGCCAAGATCTTGCTTCCACCTTCCAAGATTTCAAGATCTTGCTTGCAAGATGTTCGACTAGGGTAGTATTCAATTATGGATCNTCTTACGTAACAATAGGCCATTGGAATTCCATCACAATCAAATAAGCCTTTCAGCAGTTATATTCTAGACCGACAATAGAGAGCACAGTGAGTGATTCTACTATTACGCTCGCTTTCTCAGTATATTATGACCTGCAAATGTTTTTAATCTGTTGCGACCAACATATTTGTGATACTTTAATTCCCGAAAATCAAGAACAGACTTGGAAACAACTCACCTTTGAGCGGATTTTCGGGCTTCACAGCATCTAGCACATCCTAGATGGTTTTCTTAGCGTTAACGGGCACAAAGATAGTTTGGGTGAGTATCACCCCAGACCCCTCACCCACACCCACACCCTCAGCTCTACCTTTTGTCAAATGTCAATAACCAAGGAGCCATATTTTTACTCAACATTTATCTCAATAGGATATCAAGAGAATCAGCTAGAATGATGAAACTTTCTATATAATATCACACCGACTAACTCGAATATATAGTGCAAAAACACGGAGGAATTACAATTGTCCGGAAGAGATATAGAAAATTCCGAGAACTTATTGACTACCCTATGTAGATGGCTATACCGCACTCCGGCGTCTTAGTCAGAAGAAGCCTTTCAACAATGATTTTCAAGGATATGTATCATAATTTTTTCATTCGCGTTTAAATCTTAACATGAATTCAATAAAACTAAACATGTCTCCTTCTTTTATTCTCATCTTTTAAATTTCTCGTTCTGCTATCAAAAATAAACGACAAATTAAATATGAACGTACAGTAGTTTCGTTGTGGGATTGTAGTGCTTATGCAGGGGAGTTAGTTGCAAGCTTAATGAGCAGACTTACAACTAACCTAAGTGATCTTTCCTCAGTTTTTTCTCATATTACTGTCAAATTGAAATTTTCGAAGATACGGAATCGTGTATTGCATACTGAACAGCTATGCATATTTTGCGATGGTTTCTTGAAATAACAACAATTGAATCTGATTATCTGATATTATCAGCATACTCTAATAGGTGTCCCCAACATATATCTTACAAGAAAAGTTTCCAGTTAACGTTAGGAGTAGAGGAAACTGAATAGATTTCTTGTAGGAGTCCATTCGAATCCCAGGTGGGCGGATAAGGGTTAATTGAATCCTAATACATTAGAATACGATGTCGGTAAACTATCATCATCGTCGTATATTTACAACCAATTGATATCAACAAATGCTGTAAGAGAAAGTTTATCATCATCTATCTTTTGCCTTTTCTCGTTATTCATATTGTTAAATGAAAAGCACAGATAAGTAAGTCATCGACTCCTTTACTCAAGCCAAGCCAAGGTGCGTCTGGAATGTGTTCAAGTCCATTGATGTGGCTTGGTTTAACTAAGAATTGAACATCGCGTCATATCTTTAGCTCCATAATTCAGTCTACAAATACATCTGTAGCTTTTAGTTTAAAATTTTTAATTTACAGTAAAACCCCTCTAATGTGAACACCAATGGGACTTCCTCAAATCGTTCAGATTGACAGGGTGATCAGTTAGGAGGGGATTAATGAAAAAAGTTTTTTCAGTAAAATAGTCTTTTGTAACTATTTCTTTCATTCTACAGACGTTTATTCAGATTAATATTTAGTTATTCATAGCTTGAGAAAATAGTTCATTATTTCGAAAGATTCCAGATTGATACTCCACATGCAGATTTGAAGTAATCAAAAATCAATTCTTGTTTTAATAAATTCGAATCGAATAGAGCATCAATTATTTTATATTGTAGCTGGAAAATTCCCGATGAGAAAAATCTTTTGCTTTAACTAAATTGATTCTTTCTTACACACAAAGATCTGTCAGAGAAGATATTTAATTAAGTTACAAGCTATTGACTACAATTTACAGAATTAAAAACATTCATATATACAAGCAATTAACTTTCTCTCTCTCTCTCTCTCTCTCTCTTCCGTCAATTAACGGACAGGCCAGTCAGATGTATTGTGCTAGCGAAAGCATAGAGGGCGCCACCAACATCTGTTCACATTATCGAGGTGAAATATGCAGTCGGGACCAGAAAAAAGCGTTCATAGTCAGAATCGCGAGGGGATCAGTTAGGAGGGGGTCAAAACCAGCAAAATTTGCTCGGGGGGACTGGAGGGTGTTCAGTATAACAGGTTGATCATATAGGAGGGGTGTTCAGTAATAGAGGTTTTACTGTAAATGTTAGACAGTTGATGAATATCTGAAAAAAGACAGTAAATCATCATTGATAAGCGTGTGTCGGATTATTTAACAAAGTTTTAAAACATTATCGATCGAATGAATATAAAGATTCGTTTGTAGAAGTCTTGTCTTTGTATGCACAACCTCTATGTTATTATTGGTTGATACACGTGAGAACCGTAAAAATATTTTGAAAAATATTTTTATGATTTCTTATGATTTATGTATGCTTTTAAGCAATTAACTCGATTGTTTTCATTATTTTCATACATTAATGGTGTCGCTTTAGTCTTTTGAAGATCTTGATACAAGATAATTCTAGTTTCACTTTTCTTGAATCTTATCAGGATCTTGAGATCTTAGAACAGATCTTTCCATGATCTGTGGTACAGATATATAAGATATATCCAAGATATACTTTTTCACAAAAAGCAATTTATCTGTTTCAAGATCTTGCCAAGATCTTGCTTCCACCTTCCAAGATTTCAAGATCTTGCTTGCAAGATGTTCGACTAGGGTAGTATTCAATTATGGATCGGGCTGGGTTGGGTTGGGTTGGGTGAAACTATATGGGAAATTTATTTTACTATTGAAACGTTTTCGCATATATTTACACTGTAGGACACAGTTACTCATTAGATTCAAGTGCGACTCACACTGGATTCAAAGTTTTCAAGTATTCGCCAATATAGTTGCACTGTGAATGATCGAGCCTGATAAAAAAGTGCCGTTTTGTGATTTTAGGCCTCGTAACATGAAGAATCAAGGCTAAACGTAGAATTTGAAGGAAATATTGACGTGTCTCGTTAACCTATCATTGTGTTTCCATATTTCAAAATGAATGGAAATTATGCATTCCATCTGACAAGAATTTGGCGACATCTGGCATAGAATTACATGTGTTATCAATGATCACAATGCATATTCTAATAATATGAGTTGTTTAGAACAGAAGAACAATGATTTTACTTATTGTTGAGATAAATAGAATTTTCTCATTAGAGTTGAATTAGAAAAGCTGATTTTGTAATTGGCTTAGGTTCGGACAAAAGTGGTCTCATAAATATAATTCAATCCTGTTACAAAACATGTGAGAGACTTTTTCCTGAAGCTTACCAACAAGACGGAAAGAAATCCATTATGTGCGATGTGACTGGTGCTGGTCTACACAAAGAATTAGCTACTGGAAATAAATTCTTACTTATGCATGAAGCGGATGCTAATCTGACGAAGCTGGGATTTTATCATTTTGGTAAAAACATTGTTTTAAAAAATCAATACTCTTTGGAAGCATGAATAAAAAAAAAGAAGAGTTTCGATACAGATTCGGAATAGTCTATTCTTCAATATCGATTTCTTGTTGTAGTTCAGAGGAAATTTCAGATTATTGTTTTCCTTCGTTGATAGCCGTACAAATAATGTTTGAGCACCAGTTTATGGTACATATTGCTTTGAGGAACTTTCGAGGAAAGCGTTACAAAATGATTTTTTAAGTCGTTCGAACGTTCGATCTTTTCCTTTTATGCCAATCTGATAGATACGTATTTCTGTTCATTTTCATTTCGAAATTATTTTCGAGCTGATTATATATAAAGATATACACAGATATCTCTGAATTTAGGGCAAGCCGGTGCGGTGTCTAACCGTTCACTTATGTGCGAAGCGTTTGATGGCTTCTCGGATTCATCGAAAACAACTGGAATGTATGACTTTTCGATCGAAGATTCCCGTCTATCATTGTTAGGTGCATGTACTGGTGGTGCGTTTCATTTACTATTAGCTCGATACTCAGTACACAAAATATCGGACGGCTGCGAAAACAGATTCTTATATCATTTCGTGGAGAACAATTTAATACCTTATGATCTCATCAGAAAATCTGATCGATTCTTGCCTTCGCTCCAACAGATTTTTGTTGTTATTCATTTAATGGGAAGAATTATGTACACATTTGTGGACTCTTTAGGAAATGATGAGCCACAAAGGTTTTATGTAACGAAAGGAAAATATTATATCGCCGAAGGACAGCGATTATTCAAAGACCGACAAAAATCGCATCTGCAATCGTTTTACTCGAAAAGCGCAGAAATATTTCCAAGACTTTGTGTGAATATGCAACGTTTCTTGGACGCAATGCTCATTCTGTTCGAGATGAGAAGAAATGAAGATTTACAATTCGCACAAGTTGTTGATGAGAAATTCGTCGGAAAAGCAAAGTCTTATATTGAGAAACATTTAGTCTTAAGCAAACATGCAAATGGTGATGTCGTCAGTTTCGTTTCTCTGGAAACATGCCTTATCACTGAATATTTGTTTGACAATTACTTATTCAAGAATACATTAAATCTGTTCAATCTAGAACATTCCGCGAATCAACCAAGTATGCCATCTACTCAATTTCGTACATTACTTGCTGAGAAACCATCAATCGAAAAGAGAATATTGCAACTGCCATATCAGTTCTTTCTCCGTTCCGACTTGAAACAGCCAACAACAAACGAAAATGGAAAACGAATCAACGCTCCATTACATCATGTTGACGGCAACTCACTGAACACTGCACTTGACAGATTAGTTAATCAAAAATTATTAAGCATGGGGCACTTTATCAGTCGACCAAGAGCTCAACAAACGCATTCATACATGAAAAATCCAATACCAAATGATTCATTAAAAAAAGAAGAATTTCATCAATATTTACAAGAGTATAAAATTAACGCCGATGAATACCACAATTTACTCACTCGATCAAATGTTCCAAATAACTGTACTCTTCTTCCAGAAGCTAAAAATTTATTAACGACTAGAATTGAACACCATGCTGATTGTGTGAAGTACGGTCTTGAATCAACGGGTATGTATAATGGCATGTTACTTCTATTCATCTGACCAATAATGAAAAATTCGTTTATTTTTGCATTGCTTAAAATGTGTTGCAGCACGTGATTTTCTTACACTATGCATTTCAATAAAATGCTTCGTTTTAGTGACTTTGATCAATGAAGTGACGTTTCGTGGTTTAATTCAATCGAACCTTAGAAACATTCCTCAAACAACTAATCGAAGTTTATTTATTGAAACATCTGCTATTATGACAACAGAGAACGAATCTCATGAAAATGATGAGTTTTTTGGAATTGACGATCGAGGCGCTGCCTTGGTAGATAGAAATAATAAAGTAATGCCTCGTAAGTGGATACGTTTCAACGACTTTTGAAGCATTGTAAATTATCTACTGATTGTAGGAATATCCGAAGAGGAAGTTGTTTTAAATAACAACTATGATCTTAATCATGTCTCTCGTGGCACACAAGGTAGTATCTGTAGTATCTATGAATGTTCCGATATTTTTGTCTGCTAATCTGTAGAGTTCTCGGCAAACGATTTCGATGAAGTTCAAGCTAATCAAACTGAAGTAGCAGAATTAATTGAAAAACACGATAAAACATCTGATGTACAACCAAAAGGTTACGATATTCAGCATTGAAGTTCATGGCATGTTGAGTTATGCATCGAAATTTTTCGTCTTGTAGATTTTGATCGTAACATTGATTTAATCGATTGTCAACCAACAACCATAGTCAATCATATTGCTTCGGAAACAGGCACGCTAATCTTCTGAATATAATAAGGAAAAATAAATGCCATTTGAAATTAGTCGAAACAACATTGTCGAATAATTATCCACCGATTGTAAAAGCTTGTGTAAAAGCTATTTTGCAATATCCATCGATTGTTTTATCTTCATCTGACATTTCTCTTGCTACTCGACATCACACTGCTGTAGCTCGGCAAACTAGCCTTCGATTAATGATTGATAAAGAGCTTTTGCAAGAAGGCGATTATTTCGTTCGAAAGCTAGCAAAATCTGTCAAGATAACAAGAGGTTTTGCTAAAAAGGTACCACGGTTAAATGATGAACAATCACGTTTCGAATTTATCGCTGTTTTAAATGAGTTTGGAATTACATGGGATTTGTTTAAATCCTTTTTTGATCTTTCAAAAGAGGGTATTAATATAGAATGTGGATAAATATGGGAGTTATTTGACTTTAATTCAATTTTTTAACAAAGGATTTTATACAACAACACAGCTACTTTTAAATGAAACCGCTGAAGCAATGCTAGACTCAGAAGATTATCGTTCTTACGTCAATTATGATAAGCGTGCAGTATTTCGTCCGATTGACAATGCAGTAACAGAACAGGATGAATTGGAATACGGCGACAATGTCACTGGTAATAAAATCTTGAAGAATGTATGTTTTTGAGCTCTACCCAGGTTATTATGACACGGTCGGTTCCGGCCGGTTAGGTTCGTTTTCCGACCATTTCCTTGCCGCCGGATTCCGGTCGGAAGTTCAAACGTAGGTTCCAGTCATTTCCCGGCCGTTTCCTGCAAACTTCGAGCTGGAAACGNTGAGCTCTACCCAGGTTATTATGACACGGTCGGTTCCGGCCGGTTAGGTTCGTTTTCCGACCATTTCCTTGCCGCCGGATTCCGGTCGGAAGTTCAAACGTAGGTTCCAGTCATTTCCCGGCCGTTTCCTGCAGACTTCGAGCTGGAACCGGTCAGGAACTGATCGGATATTTCCTGTGCAATTCCGGCCGGAATCCGGCGGCAAGGAACCTGCTGGAATCGGCGAAAACTGTGCCGGAACCGACTCAGATTTCAACGGATCCAGTCGCCGGAATAATCGATCTGGGTATTGTCGTTGATAGGTATCGAACCATTCGAAACTGCAACCCAAGAATGCCGAAAACGAAAAAAAACACAAGCTACTTCACAGTCGCAACGAAAAAACAATTGAACAACTAGATCTGTTATATTTGTGATTTTATCGAACAATCTTTGCAAGAAATTCGCCAAAAGAAGCAGATATTTGTCGCATATCTTTTTCTTTTTCGCATTGTAATTTTTTAAACTTCTGCATTAACATTTACTGGTCCATCTTTTTAATTATCATATTTCCGTATTTCTTGATTTTACTTATAAGAAGTCTAAACAAATAAACTCAAAGAACGCTTCCAAAATGAAACATCTTCTATCAGAATCCCTTTTTTAATCTCTTTTTGTATTACAAACTCGACGTTATATCTTTTCATATAGCTCATTTCCAGATATAAACAGAATGGATAATACATCCTTAGATATGAGAAATGATCTGTTCTTCACAAAGTTATTGAAACAAGCCCCGATTTATACCATAATGACGATACATGAAAGAATCAAGAATTCTTCTATGTTGGCTGATAAATACGCTGTTATTTGTGGAATTGTCAATAAGCAATTTAATACGAACTTTTCGCCTGGCTTTATACAGCAACAAATTGAATTCTTCTCATCATCGGAATTATTTCGTGGATATTTAAGGCTCTCCACAGATGTCGATCAAATGATAACTAGTTACCAAAAACTTACTAATTACTCAATAGTGTTCATGAAAATTGAACCAATGTCGAAGAAATGCATTGTTTGTTCAGATAATGACAATGAGCTACCTTTGTATCAAGTATCGAAAACCTTTATTTTTCAAGAAAACATTTTAGAACAATGTATTACTTTATATTCGCATTGCAACAAATGCAAATGGTCGTATTTCCCAAACAGCTACAGCCATGATGTTATGAGAAAACAATACATAAGAAAAGAACAGTTTTTAAATGCCAATGAGCTTTATTTTGGAGGAGAATGTGTTTATTCTCACAGAATTCTTGTGTCATTTTCTACGGCTTTATTAGCCATGAGAGCTTCTTTTCATGGATTTGTTAAATATTTCAACAATATGTTTGTGAATAAGACGACATTTCCGGAAAAAAGGCTGGATGAGAAAAATTTTCAAATTAATTGGATTATTTACTGTGTCTTGAAGTTACTATTTCAATGGAGCGACGAAGATGTGATTGAAATTCCGTATTCTTTATATGAAAAAGACGAAGCAAATGCCTTTTTTGATCGACACAAAAGTCAACTTTACTCAGCATTTGTTAAATATTGGTCGAATCAAGCAATAAACCAAACTTCGAATTGTACTATTAGTTGCACTGATATATTGATAGTCGATGGGCATCAAAAGACAGCTCGAGTAACGTGCAAATTCAACAAGTGTTACGATAATACCATTGAAGAGTTAGGACCGGTACTCGTTGGGTGTCCCAAGTCAGTTTCCAAACATCCAAGTGTGTGCACAGATAATATTACGCTTCTGAAAACTACCTATTCTCAAATTTTTTTAGACAGTACTTGGAGTAGTCTTTGCAAGAAACACGTCGAAATTGTTGCTAATTGTGGTAGCCAAGTCATGGAATTTGATCCATCGGACGACGTAACGGAAGATATGTGCAATGTTAAACGTAATGAGCTATCTGATGATCAAGCTCGATTAACAACTTACGGCTTTTTGGTTTCCTTTTATTCATGTGGCATAGTTGCTGGCTTTGACGAATCAATAAGATCTGAATCGCCACGGCGAGTTTTACGACACTTAATCCGGATTGGTAGGTCAGGTGTTTTCTTACCTCATACAGTGTTTTCTTCTAGGGCGACTTAGCAAACCCCCATTGGGCGTTATCTACGATACAGCGTGTTCCATAAAATTGTATATGACGACACGGTACGGTGCAGATTATTTTAAACCTACCCCGATTAGTGACTACTTTCATCGCAACGTTCACTTCGTGCTCGATTCTTTCCATCAAAGAAATCATACCCGACACATGTGTCGGAATGAAATGCGTGCCGATCATCCATCGCACAAGAACATGTTTGACAATATCAACACACAGATAGCGGAACAAACTTTTTCTGTCATTAGTCAATACAAAACACATTGGTCTAGTTATTCATATCCAAAAAGTTACATCAATTTTATTCTATTTTTTCATATATACAACTGTGACGTGTCTAACACTCGGTTTTAACTAAATTTGAAGACTTGAGAACATGTGCACACTTGTTGAATCTAATACTCAAAAAAAAGTTGGTTCTTATTCTGCGAGAGACTAGCAAATCACACTTCTATGATACGAATACAGACAGATATGCAAAAGACTTTTTCTTATTCGTATAAAGCACAATCTGTTCAATTTTCACATAAGCTCTATAGACGACTTTGCCGTGTTCTATATTTTAATCTATTTTCTTTGAAGACTCGGCTTAACTCATCTCGATTTGTCTCAGTAAGAAATTTATCGACTTTCCACAATACTTTGTGAACGAAAATGTATTTCGCGATTTGTTCACGATAATTCATATTCAACTCCAGGAGCACTCGTATATTGTGCTATAAACTCACTTTTTCATCAAAGAAAAAGTATCATCTGGTACATTCCATCCAACGTACTCCAACCCCACTCAAGTCAACTCAACCCAACCCAACCCAACCCAACCCAATCCAACTCGACCCAAGTCAATCCAACCCAACCCAACTCAAGTGTTAACTACAAGATTACACTTTCTTACTATCTGATTTTAAATGTAGTTGATAACGCTATACTTATTAATGGTATATAACAAAATAAATTTCCTGGAAATTTATTATATATATATATATATATATATATATCTTTCTTAAATTTCCATGATATTGGAATTTACTATCGTATGAGGATAAGGCGACTGGACGCTAACACGTATATATACGTCACCCGTCCTCAAGGGGTTAATAATCACAGAGAAGAAAAGTTACTGAAAGTAAACTTTAGTGTCGATGTTAACTGTGCTGCCAGAAACGACAACAGCATACTTTTTTTCTCTAGGGAACCCATATTTTATGACGCAGTTGTTCTCTCTTTCTCTGGCTTGCCACTTCGTCTTTTTCTCTTTTTTCATGAAATATATTTTCTTGGAGTATTTTTTTTCCTTTTCATTTTGCAGAAAATTAAACTTCACGAAATAAAAGATTATAACAAATGCGAAGTAATAATGTAGACAAGAACTTTGAGAAAACTAAAGAAGAGAGAAAAGAAAAAAAGAGAAGCAGTGGGAAACCAGCTCTTTCTCCGTTGAACTATTCAATATAAAGTCCTTCATCGATGAACTCTGATTGTGACACTTGATAGAGTACCAAAACGAAATGTTGGATAATCTCTGACTTTGAAAAGAGAGTCTATGACATACGTACAGGTTATCTAATTTTGTTCTGAATTATCTCAACTGAAGAATTAACTCATTTCAAAGAAGATGTTGTGATTAGGATATCATGCCTTTCGAGTGGGTGTAGATAGAAGGGTGTAGTGTAACGAATTATGGGAGTGGTCGCCTATACTTTTCAATATGATGGTATCTTGTGTCATCAGTACACTCACAATGGTGTTGGTTCTTTATTGTTCATAACTTGTATCGGAACTAAATCATGTGATATAACAAAGAGAGGGCAAGGTCAATGTCCAACGAGCAGGTTGCCAAGGCGAATTATAGATATATATTAACCATNGTTTAACTATTCAAGTATAATAATTGAATACTCGAATACTCGAATACTCGAATAATTGAAAAGTTCAAGTATTCAAATTTAATACTCGAATACTCGAAGAGATAGTTGAATACTTGAATTCAAGTTTCGAGTTTGACACTACTGTGATAGCAATGAAGGCGAATACAACTTCTCCGCAGACGTTCGATGTAGAAACGGAAGGTTGACTGTGCATATCGATTTTTATGATTCCATGTTTGCTTGGTTTCATTCACCAGGTGAGCAATCTCTTTCCCTCGATATTTCCAAGAGTCAATTTCGATCTCTTCTAGCCTCTCTTCCAACAATGGATGATTCATTCGTTTGGAAGAAAACCATTGTTTTGGGGAAGATACCAATCTCGGCACGGAGTTTCCGACTTTCCATTGAACGATCTGATCCAGGACACTATTTGATAGATAACATGAAATTGGTCATTCAACAAAGATTCTGAATCGAGTTTTGTTGTTAAACATCGCACAACTAATCTATCTCTTCATTTGCACCGTCCAATGAGAAGAAGATCGCAAATAGTCAAGTTCATCCTCCGGATTTCTTGACTCGTTCCTGAAAGAATGAGAAAAGTTTTCTACGAAGAAATATTTCGTTACAGATAGTCTTCACTGTCAGAGCAAGTTTTTGTCTACTATTTTTCAATCATCAGTAGTTCTCTCATAATTACAGCAAGGAGAGATTGAAGGAAGTTGTCCACGATTTGCTCATCAATGAAGAAAGTTTTTGAGGACGTTTTCCTTCAGATCTGTCAAATATAAATTTGCTTTTTGATCAAATGCGATTCCACCGACTCGAGAAAGTTCTTGATTACCAACAATAACAACTCCTTGTTTCGCCCCGATGGTCCATCGAACCACACGAGCATTTAATCCATCTCCAACATAGATTTGTTTCTCCTTCTGATCGACAAAGACTGACCACGGATGATTCAATTGATTGCAATGATCTCCCTGGTGATTTCCTCCACAAACGGTGACACCAGTCCCTAAGTTGACAGCTTTTGCTTGAGTGAGTTTTCAGTCGATGTTGATTTTTTGCAATCGGGTGTGAAGTTGAAGTGGCGCAAGAATAGCTATGGACGGAGTAAAAGTCCAGTTGGAGCTGGCACTAGTTTGCAAGTTCCATTGAACTGTAAATGATCCTACGATTAATAAAAGAATTACAAAAAACTTTACTTATGGGGAATTTTAGATAAATGTGCCTTTAAAGGGAAAAATAGAAATATCAAGAGATACATTAGCTGAGCTAGTCTTTAGTGATGCAATCTTGATCCATTGGGTTGAATGAATGTACTAAAGCTATGGAAATTTTTCAGAGAAATAAAGGCTCTGCAAATGGCAAATGATTATTATTGATGTTCGTAGTCAATCTAAACTAATTTTAAAAACATTCGCTTTCAGTTAAGGGTTCATTCTATTTAGATTTTACAAAGTGGAGTTGGTATAGAATTGGATTTTCTTACTCGCGGAGATGCCTACCTCTCGATGAGATAGCGAGTGCTCTAGTGCTTGCTCATTTCTCATATAAAAAGATTTCAAGTCACTTCTTTGTATAAATTGCTGGTACAAAGTTGTCAATTCAGTTAGTCCCATCACAAACAGAGACGAAAAAACGGCTCTCTATTCAGTCGAGGGTTAAGCGAGTCGGTTCATACTTGCGTTGCGTGTTTTCATGTAAATAAGTAAAACGGTAGTACAAATTGTTCGTAAGATTACTTGAACAAATCATGCTGAAACACTGATACTGTAAATAAACTATTGCCAAGTTAAAAGTTTTTGAATCAATTTCATCACATATCACTGAGTATCTGTTTATAAGTTAGACAAAATAGTATCTCAAGGTATAGAGAACGTCCCCTGAAACCAAGAGTATGACGAAGATTTTCGGAAATCTTTAAGAATAGAGCAGTGGTTTGTCATCAGAACAGTATTTTGATCGATTGCGAATCCGTTCTATATTTGTTGATAAGAGTTTTTATTACGACAACAACAGCAAAAGCATGAATTTGAAAGATTTCCTGGAATGCAAAGCTTTTTCAATTAGCAAAAGAACAAAAGCAGTGAGATTCTGTTTGAAAAAGAAAACGTTCAGTTTCCATATTTAGTTTGCACCAATAATAAGTTTGACCAATCTTGGTACTATTAAATGTAAGATAGCAATAATGCCACCAATTATACCAATAACTAAACCAATGATCGCAGCAACATCCGTTTTATCTTTAATTAGTTCAACTGTTTCCATTGTTTCCATTGTTTGAACAGAATATGTGCAATATGATGGTGCACATAGGTCATAATAGTTTATATAAGATACTTTCGATGTTACACTTTCTATCATTAAGTTATTTAAAATATTTTCAATAGTTGTGTTTGGTTGATATGTAGTTGACAATGGCAGATTGATGGAACCACCAGGCAAACTACTTAACGAAGGTATATAACGTTGTAATAGATTCAAGCACGTGACATCATAAAAACATCGGAGATCTGATCGAAGTAATGCATCAATAACATAACATCCAGTATAAAATCCTGGTATTGGAGCGCCAATGGTGCCCGATGAGGTATAGAAGTATGCTTGAGTAAAGCAGGATGTTGAATGTGCACAGTTACAATCTTCATCATATGTCACTGGTGATCCAAATATATCATTATTGTAAGCATATAATTTAAAATTTGATTGCAAACTTGAGAATAAAGCACTATTTTGTATCATACCACGAATCATTGAGAATGATAATAGAAAGTTTTTTATTGTTGTTGATTTAAACTTCTCTATACGTTGCTCGATCGACGAAATAAACAATGCTCCTGGGTTAAGGTCTGTATTGATATATTCATCAAATAAAAATTCCATTAAACTCTGATTCATTGTTTGAGAACTGTGTTGACATAATGTACTTAATGTTTGAAATAAATACGAAGCTATGTTGTGAAAATCATTTGACGAAGGTGCTTGATTTTTTGGTACCAGTGCATCGATCCATTGTTGTGTCACAAACATACTACTGCAGACTGGATGGAATTGAAATTGTAATTCAAGAAACGAGTCATAACTGATCGAAAGTTGACTGCATTCGCAATTTACCGTCTCTGGATATGTTGAAAGTAAGTAACCATACTGATCGAATGACGGATTTGCAACGCGCATAGATTGTACTTCGCTGGTGGTGACGTTTCTTTTAACTATCGAATAGGTAGGTTCTTTTGTCACAGTTGTTTTTATGATATACCCAGGAAGTGCCAATGATAAGACAAACAAAGTAACACCCAATCCCAATGATATTTTCTTGACACGATGTGCATGTTGAACATTCGCAAGTTCGAGAGCTGGAAAGAAAATGAAATTTGAATAGTTTGATCTCGTTTTTAAAGGAAAATCAAAACTTACGATAAACTGTTGCAGTGCTAGCCATTGTAAGGTGAGATCAGTGCGTATTTTATGGTGAGAATATCAGCAGTTTGACTAGTATATAAATGATGTTAGGTAAAGTTTATGTTGAAAAAAGCAGTTATTAAATCTTCAACAGTTTTCTAGTTGAAATGTTGTTTTTTCTTCAGTATACTAAGTGTATTTGTTCATTTTATTTGAAATATGTTTCCTGAAGAAGAGAAGTTTTTTCTCTCTAATACTAACGAGTGAGTGTACATCTGTGAAATATTCATCATTCTGTTTTTCATCTCTCTATATTAGAAGCAAACTCAGTACTGTTTTTCAGTTTGCCAACTTGATAAAATATTAGTTGTTCTAAGTAGTGACTGCTTACGACGTATGCAAAAGTCATATACAACCTTTTTTATTTGATTGAAATATAATAAATATTTTCTTTCTCATGTTAATAAAATATGATTCATCAGTGAACTTTCTTTCGAAAATGACGTGCAATATAATCAACTGTGAAATGCCAGTGATACTGGTAATCGATGTAATATCCGTTTTTATTTTCACTGATTTCCATATCTGAACGGGATCTGTGTAAAATCAACGCTGCAAATTGCACAAAACTCATACTGTACTTGGAATACATCCAATACTTTGCACTCTTATAATATTTTTACAAAGTCTGACAAAATACAAAATACTACGATTTTTTTCTTGCCTTCTGCTCGAAGATCTAACCTTTTTTCGGTCGTTTCTCCGCTAATTCTTACGTAAGGATACTCCCTTGGTTTCCGACATTTTGTAGAACTCCAGAACGGCAAGTCCGATCCAGCTGAATGTATTGTCATAGATACCTCTTGATATCCCTCAGTGGTGTTTTTGAGAATTTCTAAAAAGCTCCATTGAATTTCATTTGGAACGAGAAATACCAACTGGTTTCCCAGAGATCCACGGAGATATATCTTCCAAACCCTAGACAAAGTTGAGGGAGGTTCTTCCCTGTCACAAGCTAACAGTTTCGCTGAAAAACTGATTTTTAGAAAACTCAAAACAAGTTTTCGTGGTGTACTTTTGCGAGGAATGCCACAGTAGTTCACAGCGGCGAATCCGACCGTCATAATGCGCCACTCACGCATCCAAAGAATGAGCTCTACATGTTTGTGTTCACAGAATCGCTCTCCATATTATCCTCTCCGTTCGAGACAGAAGAAGAAAGAAAAAACTAACAGAACCTTTAAAAAAATCAATGTCGGAGAGAGGAAAAAACAGAAAGGAGCGTTTCGTAGTAAAGAACAGTTATTGAAAGAGAATGGTAATTTTTTTTATTTCAGTATTTTTACTGTACTCACAAAGCCTTATTTCTCATATTCATCATTAGCATGTCGATGAAAATGAGCACAGCGAAAATAACAGTCTTTGAATCAAGTTGGAAGCTACACTGAAAAAAAATAAGGTGTTCGACCAAACCCATCAAAAAGGTTTCGTAGGCGCTCAAAGCTTCCAGATGTGCCGACATGTTGAAAAAAATGCTTTTCCAAAATCTGCGAAACCAAAAAAGGATCGGCCGGCGGGCACACACTCTGAACCATCGTTACAGAACCTTTTTAAGTTTCGTACGGTCCTGATAAGGTGTCGTCGCAAAATACGAAACCTTCGTGGATTCGTATCAAACCATAATGCGAAACCTTGAGGTTCCGTATTATCTGCCGAACCTTTATTGGAATCGTACGAAACTTAAAAAGGTTCCGTAACGATGGTTCAGAGTTTGTGCCCGCCGGCCGATCTTTTTTAGGTTTCGCATCTTTTCAAAAGCATTTTTTTTCGACATGTCGACACATTTGGAAGCTTTGGGCACCTACGAAACCTTTTTGATGGGTTTGGTCGAATACCTTATTTTTTTTCAGTGTACGCAGACAAATTACGTGAAAAGTTAATGAATCGCTGCAATTCGGATCGAAAAAGCAAAGAAAATATCGATGACAACAGCGTCGTAGTCGCTGTCAGTACAGGTATGGCACCGTTTTTGGAGGAAACCAGCGTGTGTGTTTTTCGAACAGCTGATTTCGAGAAATTTTTTCGACTATGAAGTCTTTGAGTCGGAATCAAAACTCATTAAGTTCTACATTAACAGTTCATGCTGGAAATGAATTATTTTGTAAGACACTTGCGACCGATCAAACCAATATAATTTCACTGATCATGCACGCAGTGACATCGGTCGAGCGCAGTTCACCTTTTCTATGGTGACGGCCAGAACTGAGTTACTTGGCTGACATTTCTGAACTCAAGAGACAGAAAGAAAAAAAATACTTGTTTCGTTTATTTATGTAAATTAAGAAACTGAGTTCAATATTAGAAATGCTTTTGACGCCAAATCGAAAGCATTTCAGAACCATTCGAATCGATTTTCGCGCTTATACTTGACACTTCTTTCCATCTAATTCACCCACTTCGCGATGGATATATTTCAGCTGTTAAGATAAAACCATAGATGCACCAAATCCAATTCCAGTCAAATCCAAATCCAATTCTAGAGTTGGATTTGATTGGATTTGATCAGATTTGGGTTTGGATTTGACTGGATTTGACTAGATTTGGGTTTGGATTTGACTGGATTTGACTAGATTTGGGTTTGGATTTGATCAGGTTTGACTGATAGTGGCTCACATTTAGTCAGAATTAAATTTCGATCTTATGGAACTGTATTTCTACTCGAACTAGCACTGAATCACAGTGAAATAAACTTGCCATTTTTTACAAGTCTTTCCAGATTTTTGTCTCAAAAAAGGTGAAATACCTATTGTCAAATCCACATTACNAACTATGTTTATTGAAATAAAATGAAAAAAGAATCGACGTTTCGATTATCTAAGACACCATTATCAAGATAGAAGAGAAACTACTAGAGAAATTACTTGATTCAACGGAAATAACTGAAGCAATTATAGTGAACAATACCAGAGAGAAGAACGAATTTAGCCGTTTGGATCAGGTAGTAACTCTCTTGGTAAGCCATCTGGAAACACAATAAGTGGTGCCGAATGTGATCTTTGATTCAGTTCAGGCTTGGATGCTTGAATCAGTAAAGATTCTTTGATTAACAGCCTATAAGGATTGTCATCCCTCCAAACGACACGAAAACCAGTCCAATCAGTATGATGTCCTGTATCTTTTTCATGTTGCGCGAGAGAAGATACTACTACATTTTCTTTCCCCCGCTTTTTATCATTGGCCGTGTTGGAGGCATTTGTTGGTGTAGCGTGGTTTTTGTATCAAATTCATGATGACCGTCTTGAACGTGCAAATGTTGGATCAGGTGTTGCTGTATTATATTCATCACTAGATGTCTGTTCCTTTGGATGGGCATCAAAGGATTATTTTGCTGCTCCATATTTAGAGGTGTAAGCCGATGACTTGATCGGCGGCGGCGGCTCGAAGGATTTATATTTTTTCGAGTCATCGGCGGCGGCGCGGTTGGAAGAATTTCTTATCAGCGGCGGCGGCTCGAAAGTTTTAAATTGTTTTCAGTGATCGGCGGCGGCGCGGCTGAGATAATTTCCTATCGGCGGCGGCGGCTCGAAAACTTGAAAATGAAAAATATCTGTTTATTTCAGTATTTAAATACTTATGTGTTCAAAAAGTATACAAAATGAGTCATATTCTTTTTCACATGATATACATAGCAAGAGAAAACAAAAGTCCGATTAAAATGAGATATAGTTGAGGTTGTAGTTATTCACAATACGTTCATAATAGCATAGATAAATACGAAAAATGATAATAACCAAAATCCTAGACATTTTTTAATAGATCATAATTGTCATGGATCACCTGAATTTTACCAATATTTTCGGGAGATAACATTGTTCTCTTGGCATTAACAATTAAACCTGTGATCGAAAACACTTTTTCACTTGGTGTTGATGTAGCTGGAATGGCAAGAATAACTTGAGATAAACGTTTCAAGTGAGGAAATGTATCTTTTGATGATCTCCAAAATTGAAGTACATCATCACAACTAACATCCAGTTTTAAATAATCTTCTATTTCATCAGCAATTGGATCAGAAGATACAACTGGACTCGGTGTATGCTTTTGAATTAAATTTTCACGAATTTTTTTCAAACGTCCTGTAGGTGTATTTAAATATTCGATGGACAAATGACGTTTCAATAAAGGAGATAATGATGTTGCTTTTGAACTAGCAGCAGACGAAGATGGTGATGTTGGAATATTTTTTGTCATAGATACTGGGACAGCATGATTGATTTTAAACTTTTCGATCATATTGAATAAAATCGATTGTTTGGATGGTTGATTTAGAGGTAAATAACGATCAATGTCAATTTTTAATTGAGATGGATCAAGTAGAAAAGCACAAATGTGTAATGGATCTACTGGAAATCGTTTATCCAAACTTGCACTTAATAGAGTTTTGACTTCTCGAATAACTAGCGATTCCATTCCAGTAATTCGTAAAATCGACTCTGTTTCCTATAAGAAATGATAGTTTAATAAAAGTATCTTTCTATGCAATCTTTTCTATTCGTTACAGAAAAGATGCGTGTGTTCTGTAAACACATTTTAATGCTATAATCTTCAAGATTTACACCTAACTTTCATTCAACACAAACGAAAATACATTTTTTGATACTCACCATACGTAATAATAGATATAGATTCATAGTTGTGTAGGATTTCGACGCCGATAAAATCGTAGTTGTCGATTCAAATGAAGAAAGAAATTCAATTAAATCATTCACTATTTGATTTTCAGCAGCAGGCAATATTAAATCAAAATGTTTCATACGACGTAATAAATTTTCAACACATGTTGTGTTTGATGCATATGAACGAAGCATAATCAAAATCGTATTCCAACGAGTCAAAATACGTTTTTTCAACGTATGAAATACACTTGAATCATTTGTCACCACGGGTATTGTTAAGCCATTATTTTCTTCATTCTCGTTCAATTCATTTAAATCATCAACATCAATGTATGATGATATCGAATCAGCATCCAAAATTTCACCAGCTTTATTAATCTCGGACAGAAGATTATAGTACATTTGATCATTTAATCGATAATATTCTTCTTCAAGTTCTTGTTGTCGATAACGAAGTTTGTTAATTATCGTTTGGATTTTATCCAATAAATCTGGTACAATATTTAATTTAGGAAAACAATCTGTCATTAGCAAATTGTGAATACCATGAGCAACACAAAAGGTATGCATCACTTTGAGTAATTTCCATGCTTTCTTCATGTTTGAACCTTTATCTGAGACCTAAGCAAAGAAAGAAAAAGAATCGAATAATCTATAAAAACTCTACACGTATTTAACTCACGACAATGATATTGCTAGGATTCAAATTAAATTCGCTCACAACAGCCAAGAAATAATCTTTAATAGCTTCTCCCGTATGTCTTCCTTCAAATGGTTCTGTCTTCAAACTATATTGATGTAATTTCAAATCGGAATCAAGATAATGAACTGTAAAACAGATGTAAGATCGATGTCTGTATTTATCACACCATCCATCACATGTTATTGTTGGATATTCGGATGATAATTTCAATTGTTCTTTTGTTTTTTGTACACATACATCATGAATTTTATTCAAATTGATAGGTGACAATATTGTGCGAGATGGAATATCATCTTTTGAACCAACAACTCTATTTGCAATCAAAAAATCTTGAAATCCTAAATATAGATGTGTATGTGTTTAAATCCTATAGATTATTTCCATAGGTGAATCATACCTTCGTTTTCTACGATAGAGAATGGAAGAAGATCTCGGCAACACATTAATGTTAATTGATGACCAAGTTGTTGTTTAAGTTGAGACGCTTTAGTTACGTATTTCTCACGAGAAAACATAGACAGGATATGTTTACTTGTTGTTTTAGTTTCTTGTACACCAGTTACTTGATGCACTGCCAATAAATGATTTTTCATATTTCCTGTACCACTTGTTGATTTGTATACACTTAATTCATTTCGAACTAAGGACAATGCAATATCTGGTTGATCATTCTTCAATTTATCAAAACATAGTTTACAATAAACTCGTTGAACATCTAATGGTTCATTTGGTTTTTTGTACAAATATCCAAAATAATTCCAAACAAAAGATGACTTTGATTGACCAGATGGATTAATACGAATAAAAAGATTTTTTAAAAGATTCTGAACATTCTCCATTTCAAGTCAGTAATAATAATAGCTATATCAATCTAAATTAAAACCACCGCAATTATTAATAAAGCTTCTTGTGTTTTTTATATCAAATACGTAACTGATTACTTCTTTTCTTTCTTTGAACAGAAATTACAATAGATTAGATAAGTATTTGACCAATCACAAGTGAAAGGAAAAATAAATAAATGTAGCAAATTTTCATTCTATTTTCATTAAAAAAAGATGTCGGCGGCGGCGGCGGCGGCTGGGGACTTTCGGAAAAGTTCTCTGTATCGGCGGCGGCTCGAAAATATTAAAAATTTTCGCTCTGCCGGCGACGGCGGCTTGAGTTTTTTTCAAAAAATCGGCGGCGGCGGCGACTCAGCCGATCGGCTTACACCTCTAAATAGGAGCTTGATTAGGCATTTGATTCTATAAACTGATTTGACGTAAGCTGAACACAGTCGAGCCTCCTAGCACACTATTCTCCAACAGCTGTACAGAATATTATTTTACTATTCCTTCTTTTAAGTTTGAGACATAAAAATGGTCATACATTTATTAGTGATATTGTCACAATGCTGATAGATATAGTGTAGTATGTTATTTCACTGAGAGAAATGTTATTGAAAACAGAAGAATATTTACTAAAATGAATTATCCACAATATTCATCGTAGTGTTTGAAGTCCAATAAAGGGTACTGTTGCACTTGTTGAAAATTTATCCTCAAAGTGATTGTGCCAAATGATATGATGTATTTATTTTAAAACTATCACGAAATATTGAAATTGTACAGTAGAGAAACGAAAGATTTGATGCAAAACACTATACTGATATTATAATAAATAAAAAGATACTGGTACAAGTATTCGTCATCACCGCATCCATCCAAAAGTAAGAGACAGTAATTATAAAGCCTTAGTATAGTACAAAAAAAAACTACTCGAATATTCAGATGCAATAATATATCAAAGGATATAATACGTAAAGGTATAAGCATTCAACCGTCACGACGATGATAACGCAAAACAAACTAATCATACAGAAAAAAAAAACATGCACAAAATACAGAAAAAAATACTGGAGAGAGATGCGTAGGACTACACAGTATATAATATCGAAGCATTGCTGCTATATTCACACAACACAAACGCACAAATCGAGAAAAGGTAAGTGTTGTATTACTTTGAAACTATTCAAGTTATCTCAGTGATGTAACAAAATCAATACGACGTTAGGGTAGTCTTTGTAGTATTCATATTAAGTATCGATGTAATCCAAACCATCCTTCAGTAGCAGTACTTGTTTCCTTCGATTATAGCACCGTTATAAGTAATGTTCGCGATGGTGAATATACTAAAGAGAATACATTCTAGTGATATAGCAGTGTTAGCGATGTTCCCGATCGTGAAGATGTCAAGCACATCTTTTCTTGAAGTATATGGATAATAGCGGCTGAGTTGTTCCGACGTTGGATCACTGGGCGGTCTAAACGCGTAATATTGCTTCACCTCTAGGACATCAATGATTCGATATCGGGACCACTGTTGAAATTACTTTAGTGAAATATTAATCATTTTTCGCCGACTACTAGCCTTCCTTATAAGATATAGTTTTGTCGATTATATCGTGATACTATTAGCATTCACTCGAGCTTGCCGCAAAATCAGCTTCCTATTTACTCTAGTATTGTTTGTCAAGTTTGACGTCGTTATTGTTACATCTCTATATCCGATATTAATACGTAATAATTTGGCTAATATTGATATCGGTAGTATCGATATTGTTATATTTTTATTTCGATTATTCAATTAGAAAATCTTTCATGTAGTTAAAATTCAAAAGAAAATCAACGATAATTGATGTCGTTCATCATCAGATACGTCGAGCGTCTGATGGATCATGGCAATCGTGATTCACAACAAGCAAATAATCAGTACAAATATATAGTGGTTGATATTCATTATTCTTTTCGTATTTTCCTTTCTTTAGAACGTTAGCATCGTGGCTGCCTGTGTTGGCTATATTTTTTATTTTGATAGTTTTGGGAATCATTGCTGGAGTAGTTGTCCTGTCATTACTTAGCTTATATTTACCGAACAAGGCAGACAATATGGTCATCAATCACAACAATAATGGTATGAGAACTACTTTTATCTATAATTTTTTTGGGTCATGTTTGACATTTTCAAGTGATAAGAACCATAGACATGGCCCTTGCTACTAGTCTGGACGTTAATAACATATTCAATGTTGGTAATTATGATTCAATCGGTAAACAAGTATGTATCTTGCTTCCTGACGATTATGAAATGCGTAGTCTCATTCTAGTTGGAACAATATCTTGGATATTCATCTTCAGTACTAAATGTTCAGTGGGCTGCTTTTAGTAGCAATACATTGACAGCTAGTACTAGTAAGAAGAAAAAACGAGAAATAAGGTCAGTTGATTTATTGATATTTATCTCGGTTGATAAGATATTCATTGTTTTTTCTTTTGTTTAGTGATGTGCCTTCATGCACCAACGGCCTTGCTGGAACGAACAACAGTGAAAAAAAAAGTGCTAATTTAGGTCTCACAATCCGTATCAACAAGTGCCCACAAAGTCAATGCAACAGTGACCATTGTGTAGAAAAATGTTTACATGTCATAAAAGTTGATATTCAGAACAAACTTGGTTCAAATCCTTTCTCATTCAGTATCACAGCAGTTGATGGAAATGTTCATTCAATTTCTAGTCAACTTTGCTCTTTCCAACAACCTGTTGCAGGTATAGAAAAAATATCTTGTTATCGAAATAATTTTCGAAGTTGATTACTGTTGATTGAACTCACAATTAACGTAACCGTTGGTTATAGAAAAATACTTTGTACTAGTACATGAATTGAGTATATTCGCCAAGATAGATATCGATCATACATCTTTCAGAAATATCTCTTTATTGAGTGATTATTCTGTATAATACGATGTGAAGCTACATATACATCGTTATGTTATTTTTTTACCAGTAAATCTGAACATTACTATATCANCAATCACAAGTGAAAGGAAAAATAAATAAATGTAGCAAATTTTCATTCTATTTTCATTAAAAAAAGATGTCGGCGGCGGCGGCTCGAACATATTAAAAATTTTCGCTCTGTCGGCGACGGCGGCTTGAGTTTTTTCCAAAAAATCGGCGGCGGCGGCGGCTCAGCCGATCGGCTTACACCTCTATCCATGTTCACTCAGGCGACGTACACTTTGTCTTTCGGTTTTACCGATATACGTATGTTTGACTGCATGTGTTTAGGAATTGGATCTTTGGTTTGGAAGAATGTTTGGACTGCCGGTGGAGGTTTTGTGTAGAAGCGAATGTTGAGATCGAGACGAACTTTACCGGACAGTTGACTGAATCTCTTCTTCAACAAGTCCGTTGGTCGACCGATGAAAGTTATTTCTACATACATTCGTTTCTTTTCACACCCAATCAATGGTAATAATGTTGTGCTGCAATCATTCTTCGCCAAATGTTGACCTAGTCCAATGCCAAATCGTGAGTCAATGAAGGATATTGAATAACCACTGGCTATAGACCTATTTGTCGTATTTCTTGAAATTCTGCCGCTAATGTTGTGTAGGTCGAGCAGATGGTCAGAGCTCGTTAAACCATACTTACAATGCTGGATTTCTTATACTCTAGCGGTACGAATGAGTGCCAATTAGTCATTAATCCAGTGAAGGTTGGCTTCCTGTAGATGGTCGTCTCGAATTGGTGAGAGTTTTGTGGTCGAATAACTCTAAAATCGAGGAAAGGAAGTGAATGAGGGTGTGAGTGAGGGTGAAAAAGTTTTTGACTGGAATCGATCGAGCTCATCGAAATCCGCCTGGAACAGATGTGATCAGAGTTGGAATACACTCGTGTGCGAATCCGTGTCCACGATGTCTTACGTCAGAAGATTTTACAAGAACTGCAACAAAAATCAATTGTTCAAGATTAAAGTCGTTTACAACTTTATGTACCTGATGATGACATAAATTTAGGTGATATTCAGCATTATTTTTCTGGTGCAAAAATACTTTCTTATGGATGAATGTTCATGTCAAATTATCTTTTTGGAGAAGAAAGAAATTATACGGAAAAAAATGAATATTTTTTCCTATTGAACCAAAAAGAAACTAGATAAACTTAATTTATATATACTACTACATAGGAAATATTTTTATCGTCAGAGTGCGCTGATTAATATGTATTCATTCATAGAAATATTGTTGAAGATGATTCAACTAGATTAACCTTTATTTTTGATTTTCTTATCTTCACAAAATGTTTTTTTATTCTTCTCTTTCACAAAGACAACAAAAGTTTTCATTGTTTTGAATAAAAATTTGGTGTGTCGAGTGTTCGTGATCTAAAAACGTAGCGGACGCACAAAAACTTATGAATAAGTTTCAAATTATCTTAAACTTACTTATTTAAATTCGATTGAACTATATCGACAACATCAATTCTAAGTGGTTGACATGCTTGTGCAGGTATTGGCAGCTTATTAACATCAGCTTTTGATTGCTTGTTACAAGCTAAAGTTCTATTCGACGTTGGCGGAGGTTTTAACGGAAAACGTGCTATTATGTCACGAATTGTTTTCCGTACACTATCCATTAAATTTTTGGCATCGACTAATTCATTAAAATTTCATTTTTCCTATTCTGATTGAACAAGTTTTGTCTTCGAATTGTTTTTTTTTCCATGCAGGATGATCGTTCAATTAAAATTTAGTCGTAAAAAGATTAAAATTTTTATAAAAATCGCTTACTTGAAAATCAATCACATATGTTTTATTCATAAAGATGTGTTTAACTACCAACTTGTTTTCATTTTGATTATATACCAGCTGAATATTTCCACCAGAATATTGATCTATCTTGAGTTGTTCACCTTGATTTAAAACAAAATCGCGTGATAATGTGGCTACATGTGTAGCTAGTATAACGTGATGCTGTTTTGGTTGAATTTTATCCTGATATAGTTGGATCAAGTTCCATAAGTCGTGCACCCGATTCATAATCTACAGAATAAAGTTTAAGTAAATTTCTATTCTTACTATCGACAAGACTCGTATTTCATTCGAAATTTTCTATTTTCCTGTTCGATCTCGTCGTATCCTGCACGTGCTATTACATTATTTAGATGCAGGGAAAAGAAAAAAAAATGAACGAAATTCCATTCATTCTTTTCTAGTAAAGCATATATGTATGTGTGTGTGTGCACGTCTGGATTCTTATTCAAACTTGATCTGGATGACGATTTGATAAAATAAGATCAAATTGTCGTTTGTTTAACGTTTCTCTCTGTAGAAGTGCATGACAGTTTCTGTTCATATTCGACAAAAATAAGAAATCATTCACATTCATTTGACTTTCCATTGAAATAAATTCCTTTTCATTTTTTTATTGAATTAAAGTAGTAAAAATATAATTGAACCAAAGAAAAATTTTTCCAAGAGAAAACTGCTTAACCAAAAGTTTGGTACTCAAAATTTGAATAAAATGAAACAATACTGCTCATGGAATTTCAAAATTCTTTTCCCTTTATTTTCAATTCATTAAATTAAAAGAAATTCACAGAATTGGAAAATAAGATTGATATAAAAATTAATCGAGAAAATCAATTATTCTTCTTCGAAAAAAAGTGACATGATATTTATTTCCAGTCAAAAAGATTTTATAATATAAAGAGTAGAATAGTTCACATGCAGACGATTTTTATATACATATGATCATTTGCAAACAAAAGTAGAACAAATCTCGACAATTTGAACGATCTTGATCATCATCAAGTTTACGCATTGATGTGTACTGTAAAAAAAAGCGTATTTTCATGAACCCTTGCCCTTAAATTTTTTTTATAACAACGCTTTAAGGATATCTTCTGTTGGATTAAACTGATGAGAGGTTTATTATTTAGTGGGTATATGAATACAAGGGTTCTTGAAAAGCATAAGGGAAGAATAAGCCGTTTAATGGTTTATTAACCTACGTTTATGCTAAAAGACGGTTCTTTAATCTACACTTCTAAGTAGATAGTTCTATGGTAACTGAAAAACCGTTTATTATTCTACGAACATGACTAAATAGTTTCTTTGCAATACCGTTAGGGTTCGTTATTCTACGAACAAAGATAGAGTCTCGAACGTTACCTTTAAATTGATATTTTATACTATGTTTGCAGATGAAAGGTTTATGATTCTGCAACATAAGGTTGATTTACATATGTTTAGAAGAGAAGGATTGATTCTTCGACGACCAAACTTATGAACTGTATGATGAATCGAGAGAGGTTTTTTACTGAACGTCTTTAGGTTATATTATCTTACGCACATACGACAACCATTGACCATCCTACGATAGCACCATAGATGATTACACACATCCAACAAAAAGGTTGATCATTCTACTATATCACCGTTTAGGTGGCATACGTCGA